TTGAGTGATTTTTCATTTAACTGTTGTAGAATCGTTAGTATTAGAAATACAGAAATATACAAAGAACAAAAATTGTATATTTTTTTCCGCTTAATAAGAGACATTTATCAATATTTATTCTTCTTTTATAATTTTCGAGTTATAACGCAAACGTACATTTTTTAAATGGTAATCACAGTTGGCTGTGACATTTTTAAAAAGTGCATTCTTTTCTGATTCTAAAACAGTTAAATGAAAAATCACTAAATCTGTTTTTCGCGCATATCTAGTGAACTGTGGATTTTTTTCAAAAAACAAAAGCATATCTTAAATAAGCTCTTAAAACGACAACTCTTTCCACATTTAACCGAATCCGCATGTCTTATGGTTTCCGAGATCCGAATGCTTAAAATGAAAAAAAAATCACCCTGTATAATACAACACAATGACTTTGTTTTCTGTTTGACATTTTACCTTTTAAAAAAATTTACGATGAACTAGTGGCAAATTCGATTTAATTGGTTTTTAATTAAAAATGCAGCGTTTTATTTGGACGAGAATCAGTAAGTGGAATCTTCAACGAAATTAATAGAAGAATAATTTTTTTCATTCCTTATTTCCAATCAGTAAGTGCTTTACGAACGGCACTAAATAATGATCTGTCCCTAAAACACATCGCTATCCGTTGCTTTAAATACTCAATTGCAGAAAACTGGATTGCTGCTTCTGTGCATTTTAGTCTTGAACGAAAGCCAGTAATCGCGATATACAAGAACGGTTTAGTTTTTTTTTGTATGGTAAACGAGATCCCGAAATTTATTTTGTTTTAGGCTTATATATAAGTCATCACGTAACAAGCGAGTGAAGTTCTTGTAATTTTTTTAATTTAAAAAGTTATGTCAGCATTCCGTGATCACTAAACAGTTTTTAATTAACAGACATTCCGTTTACTTTAAAATCTTTTGTATTTATTTAGAACATTTCAGAGCGGAACAAAGCGAAGTGGAATAAAAGAACAACAACAAGCACCCCAATTACTCGTATCACTTCATGATGATTGTAATTGCATAGCATGGGATGCAAATTGAAATAGCATTTTAATTGATGCTTAAATTAGCACCTAGGACATTATAATTATTTATTCAAAACGACCAAAACCGTCCCATAAAAAAGTCATTATCCGTTGTAGTGGAGCAAAATTAGTGGATCATGAGGTTTCAATTTTAATTTATAGTAGTCCCCCGTGGCTAGATCATGCAGTTCAACTTTGATTTCAAGGTTTGTATATAGCGTTCGGCCAAACCGTTGCGGTTGCAGAATGTCCTGGCGCCATAATCTTTTGCAAAATGCCATTCTTTAGGCAGAAGATTTTGAAGATGTCACTGTGAAAAATTATGTGATACCATGATTTCAGGGAACCCATCAAGCGAAAAAAGTGTCCAATAGCAGGTCTATGATAGTTGCAGACTTTGATGATCAGCCCACTTCTATTTGAAATCAAGAGCGACCTAGTATAATCAATATGGACGTGCTCAAAATTATGATGTGGATCATCCAATTGATGGAGAGAGATTTTTTGGGATGGTGCGCATACCTGGCAGTTTTTTACCATTGCTTCTGTATCAAGGTCCATGTTTTTCCAGAACTTGTAATCGATTACAAGTTTCCAATTGATGTTTAACAACATATTTTTCTTTGGAAGTTCAAAAGGGTTTTTCCATAAAACGTTATCCACTCTTCCAAAACATCGGTCGGCGGCTAAAAGAAAATAAAACGCACGGAGTGAAAAACGACCACGTGTTCCAATCCCACCCATTTTTAGATATAGCCGAGTTTGATGCAAAACAGTGGATTTGACCGGGTTTGCTTCAAAAGCTACTATTTAAACGGAAATATACTCATGAAATAACCGCTTTTGCATATAAATAACTTCACCAATCGATAGAAAGTTTAAAATAGAAGAAAAAAATTTTTTTTTGCTTAATTTGGATATAGCCGGTTTTGCATGCAAGCTCCTCCTACTAATTATCAAGTGTGAATCTGGATTTACGAATTGACACATTATAATTGAATGATAAAAGGTAGGTACTTACATGTGCAGTTCTCAGCTTTTCAGAGCAGCACAATGGAACGAATCGTAGATCTCAGCTGGCTTATGCTGCACCTTAATTACACATTGGAAAATTGCCTGCAGAAAAAAGGTTAGTAGGAAATGAAATTTTGTTGAAATACGTTTATTGATTTGGTATATACAGTAATTAAATTTACTTTGTTCCCTTGCATTGAAATATTTACTTAATTTGACATTTTCAAAACGTTTAGACATTTTAAGTAAGAAAGGTCCACAACAAGTAACTGATTATTATTGTTTACCAGTCTTTAGGTAATAAGTTTCAGCAAATTTACTGTTTTGTATAATTAGATAAATAAGGACATTACTGAAATTGTAATAAAAGCTCGTCTTTAAGCTCTACAGCATAGCTTGCCTGTAAGATGGGCAAACGGGAAACCGTAGTTAAACCGTAATTTACACTTAATTGTCCAATAAAAGGAATCTTCGGCTTCATTTTATACAAAGTTTAAGCTCATCGAAATTGAGGAGGGCTTCAAACAATAACTTGAATTCGCCCAATTCGACCACTGTTGATAGCCTTCTTGTATATAGATCAAATTCAATAGGAAATTTGGTAGATGGAATTTGGATTTGGAACAGGTGATTGCAAGCTGGAGTGCTTTAGTGTAATCGGAAATGCAAATTGTTGACATTCGCGGCGTTAGTTCTCAGTATGGGATGCTAACAAGTATGCGTAACTAATCAAAATAGTTGTAATACAAGGTGTCAGACCACAATGTAACTATTTACCAACTACACACGGAGTTAGTTATTGTTTCAATGTCAAAATTGAAGTTAAAATGAACCGTGGACACTACGAGTTTTCATGTGTTGAAAACTTTATCAAAGAGTAAATCGGTATCACACCCTTACTTGGGTCCGTTAACTTGGCCCCCCCCACTGAGAGATTTCATAGTCGTATTATTTTGAAATGAATGCGCTCGTTATGCGCTCATATTCGCCACCGATAATAACTCTTGCGCCATTATCGTCTTTTAGAAATCCGAAAAAACATGGGGGGGGGGAAGTGAACGTAGCCCCCCCCACCAGCCCCCAGTACGTATTTTGTCCCTTGTAACTAGGTCAGCTGATACATTTGGCTATGCGCTCAATTGCGCCACTTGAATTAAAGCTAGCGCCATTGCGGTTAAGCCATAAAAAAATTTTAAAAAGTGGAGGGTCTAACTTAGCGTTTTCAAAAGATATTTCCGGAAGTGCGTCCATTTTGAAAATATTTTACATCGATTCGGCCTTCGGAGTAACTCCTAAATACAAATTTTTAAAAACCTACCAATTTTACTTTCTCAGAATCGTTTAACTAAAGCTCCCAAAAAAACACCCTGTATAGTGTTTCTGAAACACTATAATGGCGCCAAGATTTTTGTTTACGGCGCATTTTAGCGCATGATGAAAGGTACGATGTAGTAGAAAAAACATGTTAAAAAACGTAACTTTTGAAAACGTTAAGTTAGCCCCCCCCCACTTTTTAAAAAGTTTTTATGGATTAAGTGGCGCAATTGAGCTCATAACCAGATGTATCAAGTGGCACAAATACCGGTAGCAAAATGCGTTATGGGGGATTCCGTTCACTTGGCCCCCCCAAATATATTTAAGGATAACCAAAAACCAATAATGGCGCAAAGATATCTTTTTACGGCGCATTTCAGCGCATACCTGAGAGTACAATTTCGTATGAAAAGATGTTAAAAAAAAGTAACTTTTAAAAACGTTAAGTTGGCCCCCCCGCCCCCACTTTTTGAAAATTTGTCACGGCTTAACCGTAATGGCACTAGCTTTAATTCAAGTGGCGCAATTGAGCGCATAACCAAATGTATCAGGTGACCTAGTTACAAGGGACAAAATACGTACTGGGGGGGGGGGCTACGTTCACTTGGCCCCCCCAAATGTTTTTTCGGATTTCTAAAAAACGATAATGGCGCAAGAGTTATTATCGGTGGCGCATATGAGCGCATAACGAGCGCATTCATTTCAAAATAATATGACTATGAAATCTCTCAGTGGGGGGGGGGGGCAAGTTAACGGACCCCCCTTACTTTCAGTATGCGATGACTTTGCTCAGGTTAGATAGAGAACAATAAATTTCCTTCCTCAATTACAAAGAAAATACAAAAAATAATTGTCCCATATTTTTGATTTATCAAATAAATTATAGACCAAAGTACCGGGAGGATTTTTAATGTAAGGTTGTCGAATTTGCAGGCGATTGCGGTGGTGGTCGCCTTGAAGGGTTGTTTATGATTTTTAGCCGTTTCAAGTAATTCGATTCCACAGCTCAAAAAACCTACATCACGAATTCGGACATTCGTAAATTAACACCATACCTAATTACATTCTGTCATTTTGGGTTGATTTTATACTATACGTCTTTCGCTATAAAAACCGATGCACGTCATTGATTTATGAATCAATTTCAGACAAGTTTTCTATAGATTTCGCACACTTGTTTTTTTTTTGTACATGTTGCAGTGTTGCAGCATATGTCTGAAATTGATACACAAATCAATGACGTGCAACGGTTTCTATAGCGAAAGACGTATAACATATAACCATAGTTCGGATGCCGCCTAAGCTTAACCCTTGGCCTTGTCACTCAACAAAAAAAAGTAGATATTATATCAATAGGAAAAGTAAAAAATAAAATCCTTAGAACTTACCTATCCACGAAACTTATAAATGGATTAGGTCGGCACGTACGTTGTAGTTTAGTCACAAAACTGAAATGGTAGATAAGTGATAAATAAATAATCTGAGAGCGCAGAAAAACTCCAAGCATAAGCAACTTTAAATTGATCAATTTCGAGCCTCTACCCCAATCGAACGCCGCTTTTACGGTTACGGAACGTAAAGGAAAGCTATCGGATGTCGATCACGATTGGAAGTATTTAGGCAACATTGTGTTGGAAACGTTCAGTTAGGGGTTGTAAAATGCGTCCATGCATGTGACTTAAGTGATAATGGTAGAAGCGGTAACGATTTTTCCCCGGAAATGTAGCAAGAAGGCTGTCAATAACTAGTCGACCAATAATTACTGTAAACACAAAAGTACATTGAACATTAATCGCGTTTATATTAATTGTTTGTTTTGTGACACATAAAACTATAACGTCGGTCGATCGATTTATATTTCATCTTCCAATACGTAATTTGACGAACGTCTCGTCCGTTTGACTAAATGATGATTTTGTGGACTTATGTTTGTGTTTCGCATTAACGACACTGATCTAACTGGTATGTGATTATACGAAGAGGATCTTGTAGTTTTACGTCTCATACTAATATACGAAGTAGAGGTGTTGTTGCGATGCAGTAATGTGTTTTCCGTCCCTTCGTAACCTGGAAAATTACAAAAGCGTATGAGTATGTCAACTCGGTTTTAACAGTTCTGTGCCTCCGTGAACAATTTCAATAATCAGCAGCTCATTAACATATTGGCATCCACCCGCATCTCAGAACGTCATCATTCGTTGTTGTCCAAATATTTTGACAATTTTTTCAATTGATGTTCAGAACTTGAATGAGGGTAGGTAATAAAAACGCAATTTTCCAGGTTATAATAGCATCATGGTTGTTTTGACAAGAATCTCACGGGCATTTCAAAATTGCTCGGTACAAATTCGATTTTTTTTAAGATATCGGTACCGTCATTTCATTTAATTTGTTTAGTTCTTATTTGTAATGAATATTCATTTTTTTGGAATTCAGTTTATAGCTAAGAAAAATGTGGCAAGCCTACTTACACCCGCCTGATTAATACATTTTTCATTTATCTGTTATGAAAAGGCACAAAATCGACACGTATTGATGCGCACCCTTAAAATTGAATAAAATCGGATATTTGAGTCCAAACAACGTGTGTACATTAGGGTGGAACGAAAAAAAGCAACTTTTGATTTTTAATTTATAATAGCACGGAATAGTTACCTTTTGGAGGTCCCACAAGCCAGCAGAGCCATTTTAGAACAAGTTAAAAAGTAATCGTAAACGATTTACATAAAGCGCATTTCCACTTGCATTCATTTCCCATTATTGTAAGATGCAACTTCTATTAAAATCGTAAAAATCCGGTCACAAATATGAAAGATAGCGTTGCACATGGGCAATCCATTTTTGACGTGCTACTTCAATTTCAGTTTATGAGAAGAATTTCATTTCAATGCTTTTCTAATAAATAAGAAAGTTGGAACTGCGCATGCGCAAACCTAAATTTTAAAACTAATGTTAGATTTTCCTTTGTTCCAAGCGCCTAAGTATCAAATTTCACTTAAATGATTCCATAGATAAAAAATTTGGCACTGCGCATGCGCAAAATAAAATTTTGAAACTGGCGCTAGATTTTCCTTTATTCCAAGTGCCTATGTATCACATTTCATTTAAATTCTTCCATAAATAAAAAAGTTGGCATTGCGCATGCGCAAAACCAAATTTTGAAACTGGCGTTTGATTTTCCTTTATTCCAAGTGCCTATGTATCAAATTTCATTCAAATACTTTTATAAGTAAAAAGTTTGCAATTCGGTTTATAAATGGTCGAGATGCGAAAAGGGCACTGTGAATTTTGAATCGATTCGATTCAACTTTTTGCATTGCGTATTATATGGCTAAAGCTATGCCCATATTGAATTTCATGCAATTCAGTTCATAACTAACGGAGATGTAAAAGCGATCGAACTTTTCTAAACAAAAGTTATCGTTCACACGGACAGATAGATGGACAGACAGACAAAGGAACAGACGGACAGACCAACAGGCAGACGACAGATAGCAATGCAAAATTATAAACGATCCCTAGGATCGTTAATAACGGCAAAAGTGTAAAATTATGGAACATGTAAAAAACGGTTTTTTTGTTTTTTTTACAATAACTTTTTGTAAGCGGTACAGAAAAAAATCCTTCCTTGGTACAAGACTCGACACCATAACGAACCAAATAGCGAAAAAAGTAGAACAATAGCTCTTAAGATAAAAAACTAGTAGCGTCGCAAAGTTAGCGGACGGACGGACGGACGGACGGACGGACGGACGGACGGACAAAGTGGCCACAATAGCGCATTTTTTTTTATTTTTGTGGAAATGCGCTAAAAATGAAGGACGAAATACATCAGAATTATAGACTGATTATAGGCCCTTTTTGGACACTTGAACAAATTTTCAGGCGGCATCCTTTAAAGAAAAAAACTATGATTTTGCTGGCTAAAGAAGAAGCTAGCTGATCACATGTGCGATACGCTATGCGCATGCGCAAAATTTTTGCCTTGTAATTAATATGCAGTGACATTCACGTTCACATCAAGGTCAGTCGATGTGAACAAAGCACATCTTCGGGAATCGACGCCCTGGTAGATCGTCAGCAGTTCAAGTGTGAGCACCCCTGCCTTAGGGTGTATTGTAAAAATGATGTATGTGTGAAGATCTCGAGGATTGTTTGGTATTCAGTTGTATCGGATTTTTGAAATATAAGTTAGAGTTTAAATAAATATATTAATTGGGCGAAAGCCCGTTGAGGGCCCAGAACAAGAGAGGGACAATAAATAGGGAATAAATAAATAATTTTTATTTATCCACTACATCTCCGAGAGGGACAAAATCAAACTGATCTGGATGATAGTTTTTTTTGTTTAAAGGATGCCACCTGAAAATTTGTGGTAGTGTCTAATAAAAGCCTATAAATAGCCTATAATTTTGTGATTTGAATTTTTCGTCTTAGAAGCAAATCGCAAATGTGGTCAGCTAGCTTCTTCTTTAGCCAGCAAAATCATAGTTTTTTTGTTTAAAGGATGCCGCCTGAAAATTTGTTGTAGTGTCTAGAAAAAGCCTATAAATATGTGGCCTGTAGAATCCATAATTTCAAACAGTTCCAAGATTGGGCTACTAGTTCAAATGTTACAGCCCTTTGAATTTTCTTTCGAAATTGGTTTCTAGTCTATAACTTTTGATTGAGAAGTCTGATCGAAAAAGTACGAATTGTTTTGGATTCTACGCACCAAAATTAATAAGAAAAGTGTTTTCCCGAGAAATTTTGGTGTAGTCGATTTTTGGTAAAAAAGGAAGGTTATACACTGCCTTTTTTTGAGGCCCGAAAAAAAAATTGTCTCAGATCGACTCGGAAAAAAAATTTTCTTATAGAATGTGGCCTGTAGAATCCATAATTTCAAACAGTTCCAAGATTGAGCTACTAGTTCAAAAGTTACAGCCCTTTGAATTTTCTTTCGAAATTGGTTTCTAGTAGGGAATGCAATCCCGCAGCAAAATCTCAATCCCGGTATTTGCGGGATTGTTAGATGTTAATCCCGCGGGATCCCGGTATTTGCGGAATCTCGCAAAACTTTAAATAAATTGGCAAATAAGCAATTCTGTGCGGTTAACTTCTGTATTAAAATAAATCGCTAATTATCACAATATTTAACAAAAAAGTACCTTCGGCCTAACTTAGAACTCAAAAAAACCTTACCTGTAAAGCACAAAAAGTCTTCTAAAGTGCCTCAAAAATCATAGTACATTTTTAACGAAAAAAGTTTAACAATTATTTAAAAAATAATTCGCCGTTATCAGTTTCATTAACAAAGTAAACAGAGTCGTCCCCTTGGTCGACAAATTCCTCAGTCCCGCAAATCCCGCAGGATCCCGCTCCATTTATGTGCGGGATTAATCTCGCAAAAATGCTGCGGGATCCCGGTATTTCGGGATTAAAATGTGCTATGATAGGTTAGTAAGACATAAAATATTTATAATAATAAAGGAGACATTTTAATTACCCTAAATAACGTGTACGCAAAGAAAAAATCATTACAATATCATATCCACCCCTATCTTACTACGACAATTGAAAAAGAAACCTTTATTTTGGCATGTTTTAACACCTAATAAGCGGGCCTATAAAATGATCATAGACAACAAATTTTAATTGCATTATTTTAGGCACAGTTTTTTAATAAAATTGAAATAAACATAAACAACCATCAAAAAAATAAAAAAATTAATTTCTAGAAAATTTGAAAATTTAAAGACAACAAATTATGTTCGAGGCTTTTGCGGCACCTCAAGAAGTTTATCACAATAAAACTTTGCAGACCAACTTCGCACATTAAAATACAAATTTTAATTACTATTAATTCTGTTAAATTTAAAGTTACATTAATAGCCAAATTATAGACGGTAAAACGAACGAGTTTAGACACAAGATTCTCAAGAGCTTCGCTAGGGCGCACATCAAAAGAGTTAAAAAGAGTTAATTAGTCTCTTTTCCTGAGAAATTATCAGTCAAGCAGTATACACAGTGTATCCTTAATTATAAGATGCATATTGGGAAACCTGGCGAAGAAATGATTCTTAAGTTCTCTTTTAGACAGGTAAAAGATAAGTACTGTATTTAGAAAATGCTTGCAAAAATAGGATCAGTATCGTAGTGGGTAGTGTAGCACTAAACTAATCCACGCGTACTCTCTTTAATACTTCAAAAAGTGAAATATTTCTACGCAAACTAGAATTCAGTACTCTCTGAAACACCCGTACATTATGAAGAAATCGCTGATATAGTAGGTTTTTTAATAAATAAACACGAATTTGCAGTTTAACGAAAAATGAGTTGTCTCTACCTAATTAAGTAAGAGGACTTCGACTTCAAGTTATAATGAAATCTCTCATATTCTCAGCTAAATAACATAAAGATTTTTTTTGCATGGCACATTACACATAAACGGAACGGAGATTAGACAGAAAGTCGTCCATTACACTGGTTCTTTCTCATTTCTTCCCAAATTGATTAATAAATGTCCACTCTTTCGGATTACTGGATTAGGAGAATAAGTAAGTAGCTTGTTTTATTTCGTAAATGTATAACACTCGGCTATTTGTGAAGCTCTCGCAAATGTAATTCCGTCTTTTTAAATTGTCAAATTGTCGTTTTCCGTTGGAGAATGGCACAAATCGACAAGTAGCCAACATAATCTTTCCTCAAACAACATATTCGCAATATGAATAGAATATACTGCACATCGTGATATGCGCTAAATTCATTTCGTGCCCTTATTGAAATTGTTCACGTATAGTCTGTACCTTATGTTTGCATAAAGCCGTACAGAAAAAGCGTTTATTTTCAGCAAACGTAAATGTGTACCTGTACTAACATTTCTATTGAAGCTAGATGCTAGAACAACAAATCGCGTTGTTAATTTAAAAAAGCTGCAAGGCTCGAGTGAGCCTCTTTAAACACGTATTCTCTCCAAAACGTACGAACAATGAAAAAAAAAGCTACGTACTTGGACTTACTTGTCAACGGAAATCCTGTGGAAGATCTTGGACGTCGCATAGTTAGCGAAGGTATGCACTTTCTACAGCATGGAATCGTGCTTAATGTTTGCAGGAAGCCCGTACGAAATCTGGAGTTCATGTAGCAGTAGATAATTGGATTATAACAAGCGTGCGACATCGCCAACCAGTGGGCGGCGAACCATAAGTAGGGCTTAATTTCGTCTCCAATGCTTTCCGCAGTTACCTGAAATGATATGGTCGATTAAAAATTGAGATTTAGTTGTTTCTTTTACATGCACTTATGTTATATTGTTCAACTTGTGAGTATCTTTCCAACTCATCACTCGATTTGGATATAGGATGCTGAACGATTTTACTAAATTGACGTAGGCAGTTGAGTACGACAAATCGTTTGAACAAGACGTAACAAGGAGCTTATCTCCGTTTATAGCTAGGTAACCTTTTTAATTTTTAAGTTTGATTTCGTTACGTAGATGATCTTTCCTATCACTGATACCAAAATTTTTTCCTCTCAGGATTTGTTGCTTAACTAAATTCAAAGTATCAGTCAATAAAATTTACCTATCCGGCTGCTAAAGCCCCAAATCAAGATGGCGGCCAAAATGGGGAATAAAACTCACTATAAGTTCCTTTTCTTGTTGTAAACAAAAATATTATCACGATTTTTATTTAGTACATACGTTTTACTATTTGAATGAAACTTGAAACCTGAAACTTTGACATATGCCTGGCGTCGCCGCCTTTTCCAGGATTCAGTCAACTGTCGTGAGGATGCGTCCCTGGTAGACACTATCAGGGACGTTTGCTATTTTATAAAAAAATGTGTAGCCAAAAAAAATTAAGATGACGGCCAAAATGGCGGTAGAAACTTGGGTTAACTAATTTCTTTAATTACAAAGAAAAAAATTACATTTTTTAATATGGGGGTGGTACAAATTGGTTAAAATGAGTTTTTCTATCCACCATTGTTAATAATAATAATTTCCGAAAAAAATAAATCAAGATGGTTCTCAAAATACAGGTATTTTTATGACTTGATGATATTTTAATAGCAAATTATCGAAAGGACCTTCTGGCACGGCGACAACGTTAATCTGCTGGCTACAGATGCGACAAACGTCTGTCAAGTTTTAACTAATTTCGAAAATGTGCCAAATTCTTGACACAACAGGTTCCGAGCTCAACTCTTCACCGTTTTTCTTCGCACGTTTTTTTACCATTTTTTTTTGCCAATGCCACTCCATCTGATGATAATAACGGGTATGTTGACACTCGATTATATGAACTTGAAATTAAATTTTTGAAAGACTTAATCTCTGAAAAAGACAAACTGATTTTCAATCAGGATATAACAATTAAATCGCTTCAAAACCAAATGTTACTATTAAACGAGCTCCAGTGTCATAACGGGAAGGTCAATGATAGGAATTCTATGCCTGTATCTATAACTGCGAACGAAAATTCCCGTCAAAGGAGTAATGCCTCGAATAATGCGAATGCTCAACATAACACTAATCAACGTGGGAATGAGTCTTCAAAAAATCTTGGTAATGTCGAACTGCCCCTAGTTAAGAAGGGAGTTACAGGCAAGCCACCTCCGAATGAAAAAACTGTGACATCTGATCCTCAAGACATCAGCGTCACAACTCCTCTACGAGTTACTCATGAAGAAGCGGCAAACGCCAGCGCTCCCTCAAATGATTGGACAACTGTTCAAAAGAAAAAAAGAAAAAACAATGTCCCAGTTCTAGGGAAAATTATTCAGGACGAATCCTGCACCATTAAAGCAGCTGTCTCAAAGGCTTATGTACATGTCTTTAAATTGGATCCATCTACTTCAGAAGAGGCTCTACAAAAGTATCTGCAGCCTATGTTTCCAGATGTTATCTGTGAAAAGCTCCAAATATCCTCGGTTTTACTCGTCTTTTAAAGTAACCGTTGATATGTCAAGTTTAGACAAAATTATGACCCCTGATATATGGCCTGGTGGTGTGTGCGTCAATCGTTTTTTTTCCGAAGACCGATGGCGCCATTGATTACCTAAGGACTAGTGTAGCGAACAATTCTAACGTAGATGAACGTGTATCAATTTTACAATGTTAATATTCAATCATTAGCTAATAAGTTAAACGCATTGGAAACATTCCTTTGGGATAAAAATATTGACATTGACAAGTGAGCATTGGTTCACTCAACCAGATCAATTAGATTGTCTGAAATTTGGGGGTTGGTCTGTTAAATCGTTTTATTGTAGAACTACCGGTATCCATGGTGGTGTTCTTATTATGTGCAAATCTGAATCATCTGCTAAACCATTAAAATATGTTAATGATTTATGCATTGAATTTCACTGTGAAATTTGTTGTGTTCAAATTAATCATAAGACTGTAGTTGTGTGCATTTATCGACCACCTCTTGGTGATTTTGACGTTTTTCTTAACAACCTTGAATTAGTTCTAGACAAATTAATCAACTTCAACATTATTTTATTGAGGGATTAATGTGCGTTTTGGCTGTGATAAAAAATCGCGTATCCTATGTGCATTTTTAGAATCCAATAAGTTTATTCAAACCGTTTTCTCCGCTACACGTGGAAAAAACTGTTTAGATAATATTTTTATAAATTTTTCAATGGACAGTTATTTTGTCAATACACTTGATATTGGTTTATCCGATCACTTAGCACAAAATATTATAATAAAAAACGTAAAGGTCCCCACGAATAGTTCTTCTGTAACAGTGGTGCATCGTCCTTTAACAAATACCGGAATGAACTTATTTTTTAATATGTTGTCAGATTGTGATTGGGGTGGTGTTATCGGTGATGGTACCCAAAAGGACTGTAACCGCTCTTTTTCTAATTTTTTGGAAATTATATTGAATGCGCATCTGGTTTGCTTTCCTGAAAAGAAAATGAGAAAAAGTAATACTTCTTGTGATGTTAAGTCGTTCTCAAATAAATTACGTAAATTGAGAGATACTCTTCAACTGATATGCGAGTTGTATTCCAAATACGGTACACGCAATTTGTTTGAAGCTAAGAGATCTCTGCGTTCTACTTACCTTAAAGAAATTAAATTAGCAAAAGTTGTAGCCAATGATAATTTTATTATAAATGCAAGTAATTCCACTAAAGCAATGTGGTCGATAATAAATTCGCATCAAAATTTGAATATCGAACCTGCATATGCAATTTATCTGCCAACCAGTTTAATGTATATTTTTCGAACGTAACTTCCGGACTTGTATCCAATCTTCTCTCGGCTGGTATCGACCATATTACATATTGCAAATCAAATCTGGTTAGTTCCTCTACTTTCGACTTTCATACCGTCTCTCAAGTTGAAGTTCGCGAAGCAATATTAAATTTAAGGAATGGTAACTCTAAAGACATTTATGGGTTTAGTGTTACCATGCTCAAACGTAATATCAGTTTGCTGGTAAGGCCGATGACTATGCTAATCAACATTATCATTCGAAGTGGAGTATTTCCTGATTGTCTTAAGTTAGCTTTGGTGGTACCTTTATTCAAAAAAGGGAATGCTGCAAATGACTTTGGAAGCTACCGACCTATTTCTAAGCTGCCTGTGTTTAGCAAGGTTATTGAGAAAATTCTGCTCAAACAAATTGTTGATTTCTTTGAAACAAATAATCTTTTCTTCGACCAGCAGTATGGTTTCCGTAAATGCAGATGTACTGCAGATGCAATTATTAGTTTTGTGAACGGCGCTTTGGAATGTTTCGAGCGACTTAGTTTGAGTTAGAGTTGCGGGTTTTGTTGATCTTTCAAAGGCATTTGATTGTGTATCGCACCAAATTTTATCACGTAAGTTAAAAAAAGCTTATAATTTTGAAGATCGAAGTGTAGGGCTAATCTCGTCATTTTTGAAGGGAAGACATCAGCACGTAATATTTAACAGTACTTTATCTGACAAGCTACCCATGCAACATGGCGTCCCTCAAGGATCTATCCTAGGCCCTGTCTTGTTCTAAATCTATATTAATGACCTTCCATTGGCATTATCTTCTAAAATCAACTGCATTCTTTACGCCGATGATGCTACACTGGTTGCAGTTGATCGAGATATAAATATTGCTATTCGTGAAGTACAGAACAATATTAAACATGTGACTAAATGGTGTCTCTCTAATAGATTAAAATTGAACGAAAGCAAAACTAATATTCTGCCGGTAACACTTAAAGCAAATACCGCCATTTGTGGACTCTCAGGTGCATCCTTTCTTGGATGTTTTCTTGATACAAAATTAAATTTCCATCTTCGCTGTGACGAGGTTTCAAAGAAAATCAATAAATCTATACATTTACTTAAGCGATTAAGGAATAATACTTCGGTTAAAGTAATGTGTTGTGTGTTCGACTTACTATGCACTAATTCAAAGCAATTTATCATATGCAATATTGACTTGGGGACATACTGCACCTTGGAAAGATATATTTCGACTCCAACGGAAGGCCGTTCGAATCATAGCCAATTTACAGTTCAGGGATGATTGCCGTAAATCATTTACTGAACTTAAAATCCTGACGTTTCCATGCCTCTACATTCTGGAGGCATTGTGTTACATTAAAAAACATATTGCTTTGGCGAAACCGCAATCAGAAGGGCATTCTTATGATACCCGGTTAAAAGATAATCTTCGATTGTCGTTTTGTAGGTTAGCCAAATCATAGAATAGCATAACATTCCAGTCGCAGTCATTGTATAACCGGTTACCCGCAGATATAAAGCATTTACGCATGTAAGTGTACCATCACAACAGCACATCTTTAGGTAGGTAGAGGGTACGGATATAGAAAGATATTAAAAAAAGTTTTGACAGTTTTACATCCTTTATGCCTAATGTACATTTGCAAAATTTTAACGAAATCATAGTAACCGTTTTTGCGAATAAATTTTTTTAGTTTTTTAACTTTGACATTTTGTTTCTGTTTTTTTCGAGGTTTTCTTATAATAAAATCCGGCACAATTTTTGTAGGTATACACAGAAAAATAAGGTCTTTAAAATACTTTAATAAAAATTTTAGGTTGCTATTTGAAAAAAAAAGTCGATGCCGTTGCGGCGCTCCAAAATTTTTCTCAAAAACCCGGCCCGTTATTTTTCGTTTCTGTATGCCCAATATTCACATCCAAAGTTTGAAGAAAATCCGTTAATCCGTAACCTCGCACGCACGTATATACAGACGGAAATAGTTATTTGTACAACTAGAGAAGAAAGTGGAGTTTTTCAACTGGAGTTCAAAGAGAGTTGAAAAACACTTTCTTCTCAAGTTTTACATATAATTTTTTCTGAAACTACAATCAAAATTTAAAAATTATCGTATGCAATAATGAAGTTTCAATTTTAAATGTCATTATTAAGATTAACGCAGCAATTGTTTTTTATTTTCCTCACTAGAGAAGAAAATCACATTTTCTTCACCCTTTTTAGAGATGAATGTAGTTATTTCTAAAGTAGTTTCAGCAAAAAAATTAGCTCATGCTAGGAAGCTAATATAAATAATAAATAATAAAGGTGGTACCCTTTGAAGTTCTTTTGAAAATGGAACCTATGTGCTCATCAAACGCTTGGGAAAAATGTCCAGTTTGCAATTAATTGATTGTAATACTATTTTAAGTGCAACTGAAAGTCGAAGAAATCTATTCCGGAACAAAAACGCTCAAGTCATCCAAAGAGTATCAATGTTGAGGTTTGATAAACAGTCGTCGGTATATCACCCATCGTGCTATAAAAATTATTAAATTACATCAGCAAAATTAAAATCAATCGTCTTCATGTTTTTGCACATTTCTAGTTTTTTTAAAATTTTGTTTTGTTTTCGATTTATTTTTTTATGCAGAACTTGTATACGGTAATAAATAATATGATTTTAAACGAATAATAATTATTTCAATACTATATATCGCATACGAAGAGTCAAACTAAGCGCATACTGTCCTCTCCATCTTGCCCCCCATTTTTGAAAAAGTTTAAATAAAGTTTTTGTATTTATTTTTCACTTAAGCAGGCACTTTTCAAGCAAATTATAATAATTTTGCTCACTTCAAGTAAACCAAATCAAGGCTACTACAAAACTCGGTATTTGGAGCGCCATTTCAGCCGCCATTTCAATTGTTGTAGGCTTCAAAATTTTTCATAAAATAGTAGTAAGTGGAAAAAAGTATGTGTTACATAGAAATCATGACAACCTTCTTGTTAAAAATGTTAAAGTGAGTTTTAGTCGCCATTTTGACCGCCATCTTGATTTGAAAATCGGATTTATCAGTGTCCAATTATCCTAAAAGCACATTAAAATTGTTTGTTTCACGATTTGCCGTTAGAAACCTTACAATGCGCTTTACTGAATTTCTCACCCGGACTAGTAAGGATATTAACACTAGGTTCATAACTAAGGGCTCAAATTACTGCTTACGGCGTAAACTTACTACAATTTCAGACATTTGGTTTCAAAATTTAAGCTACCAGTACTTTACGCTTTAAAAATAAATATATATAAATAAAAATAATCACTTTGCAAGAATGTCTTTATATCAGTAACTTTTAAACAATGATAAGTAGTCTGTATATTTTTGTATAAACTACATGGGGGGTGTCGTTTCTCTAGGTTGAAACAATGCCGAGTCACCTTGTAGTGTAAAAATACGATTGTTAACGTAATTATTCGATCTGAATATCGGCAATAGTAGTCGGGACATCCTGTATGTAACATAATTCATAAGTTTTTTTTTACTTCTCCACTCTGCCACTGCATTTCACAATATTATATTGTTCAAATCACCACCTTATTTGTATAATAAAATTACATTTCGAATAGATGTCCATAATATTAGTGTTCGTCGGAAACATTTGATTAGCATTCCTAACCATAACTTAGAACTATTTAAAAAATCATTTTCATACAATATAGCCATAGATCTATAACTCACTTTCGTCGAACGTTAAACAACTAACACCATCTAAATTCAAACAAAAAGTTTACCACGATTTTTAACACCTTAGTTACTAATCTACTCAAGTTACTCTGTTTCTAAATTTTATTTGTGTATTTTTTTTCTTGTTAATTTAGATTTAGTTTGCTATTAAACGGGTTAAGTGCAAGAGTACAGAGCTGCATGCCTATTAGCGAATTTCGCCTTTTGGACGCCAAGTTGTATGCATAATATTAGTATTGTTTATATATTTGTCATAGTGTGTCCAAATAAAGTCATTATTATATTATTATTAAAGCATAAAGGCGGTTTTTTAGCGATGAAGAGGCAGAGTAAGATTGACTCCTGTAACAGGTTCTAATCAAATTTTCTCCTAAGCAAGATGCTAGGATATAAAGTACCTACAAAACACTGTCATTCTAAGGCGTTCTATATTATAGGGGAGTTTCTTCAGCACAATTTTGGTGGTTTTGTAACCTAACTATGTGTTACTGTGACGATTGTAAGCATTTCTATTGTATTAGCATCAATAATATTATATTATCATTTGCTTTGTAGTAATTTTCACGCTAAAATATCACTAACTACGGTCACTATACTTACCCAAAGTATGTTAAATGGAAGCCAACATAATGTGAAAACGAACACCACAGTAACCATCATTTTGATCATCTGTAACAAAACTATTTTCATTATTGTTGTTTATTTTTCAAATTTGAATGAAACGATGCAGAAGTCAGGATAAAACACAAACTTTTCCAATAATCTCTTAAAGGCATCCTGTTACCCACCAAAGAATGAAACTTTGGGGACTGAACGGAAATCTGTTGTTCTTTTTCATTTCAATTAATGAATTTAAATCTAATTGAAAAAGTTTTGATCACTTTTACAAATAAGAAACCTTTTCAGGGATTATGTAACCATTTCACGTTAGAATTAGCAAATTCACGCAATAACAATGCTTGTTATTGGCACGTTAAGGATGGTTTCAATTACGAGTAGCTGTAATTTTATTTTTTCCGGTCCCAACCTTAAACGCTCAGAATCTTTTGTTAGGGAAAACTGTGTGTATAGGATAATGGAAATTAAATTAAATCCTTTTCTTCGGCTACAACTGCAATTGACATCTACGTCATCGCCAACTCGACTTTATTATTTACCAAAAGGGGGGGAAATATGTTTACGGAAGTGGTTAACTGTTAGGTAGATACGTTACGATTCTATAAAAAGGGTTTTTTAAGTAAACATGGTAATCTCCCTCATACTTTTCATACGCGTAGCGCGCATAAATTAAATGGCGCAAAAAGTTTCAAACTGATAACTACCAGATTACATTTACGAATAAACTTTTTGATTACATTGGCCTTAATAATGCATGAATATTATGGAAATTGGACAAAAAGTAGTTTAGTTGAAATTGTTGAACTTCGTCCACGTTTCTCTCTGCAGTATGACAAACTCAAAAATTTTGCAGTGAATTTAGCGTATGAAACGTCACTCGCACCTCGAGGTTATTCTCTAGTAGTAAAACAAAGATTCCTATAAATCCGATGGAACAATCTAGACACAAGAAAAATTAAAAATGTCCATTTATTGACTGCATCAGCTCAACGATCCAAATGAACTCCTTTTCGCTGTCCAGAACAAATGGAAATGATCTACTTTTGTTGGAGGAAGCTAAGTGCGCGTCCGTATTTTATTTTTTAATTACAACTCGTTACACGTATAATTCTTCCCACTTTGTGCTGATTGCGTTTTTTCGATTGTGGTAGCCAAATTAAACCTCCACAGAAAATGATTGGAGAAAAGCCAACCGATGTGTGTTACTACATCCGTTGGCCTTACATTGCACATTTTAGTACCGAATTGCTTGCGGTAAAATTCTGTGTACTTCACCTCGGTGCGCTAACATTAATTGATTGATTGGTTGCATTTCCACGTGCAAAATCCCATTCGGCGTTCGATATGCTTGTAATAATTGTTAACGAAGCTTATTAACTGTTAACATACTTCATTACTGCAATAATTGGAAATTTAGTCGTTACTACGGGAGTTGCCTGGATCCATTACATCTTGCAATTTTGAGAGCTCGTTATTGCATTTGCTTTATCTAGTTTCCTCGGCCACAAAATCCTTCAAAACTCAATGTTTTTCATTAAAAAATAATAAAAAGGTTAAATATTTAGCTGACCAAATTCACTCATAACTTTTAACGGGGTTTCCCTGTACAGAAATTGGTAAGAATGCACAGGCTAAATGTGGATAATTGTGTATGAGCGAATGTAGGGTTTAAGCATTGCAAGGAAATTAATTATTTCATTTATTCGTAACCTTTATTTCACCGTAAAGAAGCAAAAAGGGAATTAGAAATGTAAAGTAACAATCGCGGTTAGAAACTCAATTTTATTTCAGATGCACATAGAATAAGAGAATGCACACTAATTTACGTGTGTATATTCAGAATTGGAATGAAACGGTCATAAAGCGAGGAGAGCTCGGAGGAGATTTGAGTTAAAATACGTCAGTTATGGTTCAGACAAGATCAGCAAATTTCTTAAATAAGAATAGATTATAATTATACGTGCTTTTTCTATTGTATTCTATGAAGCTCTGGATAGGACACATAGGAAATTATTTTGTAAATTACAGTTGTAACTGGGAACTATACTAATTTACAGTTGTAACTGGGAATTAGTTTATAATTTACAGTTGTAATTGGGAATTACATTAATTTACAGTTGTAACTGGGAATTAAACTAATTTACCGTTGTAACTGTCAAGGATAATTCCCAGTTACAACTGTAAATGAGTATAATTCCCAGTTACAACTGTAAATTAGTGTAATTCCCAATTACAACTGTAAATTATAAACTAATTCCCAGTTACAACTGTAAATTAGCATAATTCCCAGTTACAACTGTAAATTAGTGTAATTCCCAATTACAACTGTAAATTATAAACTATAATTCCCAGTTACAACTGTAATTTACAAAATAATTTCCTATGTGTCCTATCCAGAGCTTCGTACGATTCAGTTGAGTTGAGTTCGGATTCTCAATTAACCAGCCTATAGACATCGAAATTTTCAATATTAACGAACTCAATTTTGTAGAAAAAATGTAAGTCGATACTGAATTAAATCAACCTACTGACAATTTACAAATATAAAACCTAAAAAACCTCCGTTTAAATCATTGCAACCGTGAAGAAAACGAAGCCATTCGAAATTATATGAGCATCAGAGACATATTTTACTGTGACAAAATTCCTTTGACCTTTTCAAATTAAATCAGACATAAAATAAATGTAAGTGACTCATATGTTTAGCAAAGGTTACCGATACCTCGAAGTGCACAAAACAGAAGTAAAATCTCAAATTCAAAAAATACTCGATCAAGGTATAATACAAGACAGCATTTCACCGTATTCCAGCCCAATCTGGATAGTTCACCCCTAGAAAGTTCAACTTACCCTCCACTTCAAAATATATATTATGCCGATGGACGCTCTTCATTTTTTTAGGAGTGGAAACTACTCCTCTTCAAAACCCATAAAACTACATATTAAAGCTTAATGTGCAGGGTTGGCAAAACGAAAAACCCATTTAAAAAACCCAACGACCTATACAAAACCCAACACAAAAACCAATACAAAAGCCCAAAGAATTTGAGACACAAAATGAGACAAAATCGAGATACTTTTTATATAGTATTTAATAACAAAATATAATGTAGTTTACTTGGAAACAGACAGGTACTGATAGATCAGTCTTTATATTCTTATTCCTAGTTTCAAAAAAAATTTACATTAAAATATAAAATACGAAACGGCATATTCACTAGGAACAAAATAAAATAAAAATAATAATTAAAAACCTAAAACAACTTTTTCTCTTTTTTAAAGTGGCTCATTTTTATTATTTTTACAAGCTTTTCTAATTTATCGGGCAGTCTAAGTTCAAAATTAATGTTATTTTTCTATAATTTGAGGTTAGAGTTCCGGAAATTCGACAAATACCCAAAAATTACCCAAATAGCCAAGAAAAACCCAACACAAATACCCAAAACCCCACCCAAAGAATACAAAAACCCAGATTTTTGCCAACCCTGTTAATGTGGGTAAAATTTTGTTCAGATGAGTTGAGTACTGATTGTTAGAGGCTTTGGAACATTATTTCAGAAGATTTCAACCCTTAAAAATCAGCCCCATTTACATTAAATCCCTTTAAAATCCCTAGTTTTAAAATGTTGTGAGCTTAAAGGGCTAAAACAAGGTAGTGCTCCCATATAAATACACGTCTATATCTCACATAATTTTTGTAGTACGGGAAATTCGTTTTTCACTTTTAGCTTGAATTATTTCAAAATTAAGTCTTGTAAACTGGTCACACTTCTAGAATGTACTAATAATACGTAATTAGCGAACACTGGAAATGGGGAAGGACTAATTTTAATTAGAGTGGTAATTAGGGGGTTACTTGCGCTGATTTTTTCGCTGAAAAACATACGGATCTAGCTTGTTTTTTAAATACTCTAAAGAATATTCTACAAGTTTTTCTCGAAAAATCCATCGTTTTGCCGTTATTTCACTGTCAAACCCTCTAATTTAGCGTTTGACGAACAAAAGCTAACTTTTAACAACTCGGTTCGTATTAGTCATACGGCAAGCATTAAAAAACCATTTTCCTTGTTTTTTTAAATGCTACGATTTTGTTCTCCCCAGTTTTTTTTAAATAAAATGAATACTTTTCTTCGAGTTTTTCGCGAATAACCAATTAAAATCATTGATCTTTTCTATGAAAGACTCATACTTTTGGTCGCGAATAACTGGAGAAGCATTAACTTTCCGAAATAAATGTATGGAACACTTTTTGCTTAGAATTAATGTTTCTATCTATTTCTGTGTTAAAATTACAATAAAAATTACCACTACCCGTGGCAATCACCTCCAGGGTGAAAGTCCTTTGCCATGATATAGATTTTAATCCTTAGGCTATTGCGCCTACCTACTGTTAAAATGTTGTAAAAATGTTTCTATTGGACCGACTTTGTTGATATTTTAATTGATGCAGAATATTATTTTCTTTAATTTACTAAAGAATTTTTATTCATAAAATGTGGACCGTTTTCGAGTTTTAAGCGAAACACTGAAAAAAGTTCGAACAGTTTTTTGACTGCCAAAAGTTGAGTCGGGAAAAAATTGGTGTGTACTCTTCAAATACATGTTTTGGACCCAAATGGACCATTTATTTATTTATGACCAATCAGCTTGGTGATTGTTTCAAATTCTAACCAATCACATGATTTTTTAAGCGATTAAAAGCTAGGTAACTTTTTATCAGCGATAAAAATGCGTGTAGGAAGGCGTAAAATATATAGTGGTTGTGAAATAAATCTTGGTTTTAAATCAGGATAATTTTATTTTTAAATCACAACTCCTGGAAAAGCTCTCGATCAAAAGCATAAAAGCACACTTTTGATCTCTAGTTTTTTCCGTTGCAACAAAACTTTCGTGTGAAAATAAAATTATCCGACTAAAAACCAAGCGCTTGTGTATTTACCTCCGATAAAATCGTTTCCACCACCTTTTGCAAGAATCACCTCTTTTGACTGCTCCGCATACTGGACTAGTGAGCGTGCACTTCGAAATAAACGCGTTTGCTGAGGCATTGTTATCTACAATTTGTGACGTTTAGGCCATAAAGATCAGTCCGCCTTACCCCTTACTTAATAACTGGCAAGCGAAAGTATATTTCATTTTCATATAAATTGTAAGGTCATGAAAACACCAACCCCAAACTTGTGAAGTTCCCAAGAACACTGTTTTGGGTGTAATGCTTGCCAAAACCACGTCTTTTGGTCAAGTTACTAATGAATTTGTAAGGTACTTGTCGTGAAAAAACACCCTGTTACGATGCTTCTTGTGGATTCCGAATTAGAATAGACGAAATAAACTTCTATTTTTTGTGATCTTGTATTGGGATAACGAAAAGCAACCAAAACTCCTCCCTTACCTAACACCAGCTTATCTATACTTCAAATTAACAACTTAATTCTTATAGAAAATGCATAATGGCTGTTGAGCTTTCAACGTTAAACTTAATCTAATCCTTTGACACTATTCGCAAAGTCGACCAATCTAATACCCTGCTACATACGCTAAAATCCAACTGCTCTCCGGGTTTGGATGAGATCCCCAACAACTTATTAAAAGTATGCGCCATGTTTATTGCGCCGTCTTTATCAAGCATTGTTAATGCCTGTATTACAAAAGGTGTCTTCCCCAGCAGAGTTGGACTGGGTCACTGGGTCAACTGGGTCACCTGGGTCACTAAATTAAACTGGGTCACTGGGTCTCTGGGTCACGTCATACTCTTTTCAGTTATACCCAGTGACCCAGTTAGACCCAGTGACCCAGTTTGACCCAGTGACCCAACTTGACCCAGTTTGACCCAGCGACCCAATTTCACCCGGGGACCCAATTCGACCCAGTAACCTAGTTTGATCGAATAACGCAGTTAAGTCAGTGCCCTCGGTTCAAGTGTACAGATTATGAAATAAATGAGATGCTGGTTTATGTTGAAAATAATACTCGATTGCTTGACAACTGCCATTTCTGTGATGTTTGCTTTAATACTGCCGTAAAAAACTTTCCATGTCCCGAATTGTATTAGAATAATGTTATTTTTAAACAGTTCCCTCCTTCATTTCTTTGTTTCAGGGCTTGCCAGTTTGCTTACAGGTGTTCATTCACATTTAATTTTCTTCTACTAGTTAGCTTAATCCAAATAAATCCTTTCTCTAAATACTTTCATTGACTACTTGACTACAAACTATAAACAAATGCATTTGATTTGTTTAGGTATTAGTTCTCTTGAATGAAATTGGGCTACGTGCTTGTTGGCGAATATTATTGAGGAAGTTTTTTTTAAAATTAAAAGTTACTTGAAATTGTTTTGGATGATACCTAACAAGAATTTAATTACTGGGTCACAGGGTCAAGATGGGTCACTAAGTAAAGCTGGGTCAAGATGGGTCACTGGGTCAAGCTGGGTCACCGGGTCAAGCTGGGTCACCGGGTCAAGCTGGGTCACCGGGTCAAACTGGGTCAAACTGGGTCACCGGGTCACGCTGGGTCACCGGGTCAACTGGGTCACCGGGTCACTGGGTCAGTAAACTGACTGGGTCACCGGGTCACTGGGTCAGTAAACTGACTGGGTCACCGGGTCACTGGGTCACTCTATGCTTGACCCAGTCCAACTCTGTTCCCCAGTGCATTGAAAGCTGCATGTGTCATAGGTACCGATTCAAAAAAAGGGTAATTCATCAGATGTCTCGAACTACAGGGCTATATCACTACTGAGTACTTTGTCAAAAATTTTCGAAAAATGTATTTACAACAGACTGATACACTTTTTTGATAAATTTAACGTCCTCTCCGACAGACAATTTGGTTTTCGACCACGCCTGTCAACCGAGGATGCCGCAATTCAATTAGTACAACAGATGACCAATGAAATGGACTCAAACAATACTTGCTTTGTTATATACTTCGACATAGCAAAAGGTTTTGACAGCATTGACATTAATAAGATGTCAGAAAAGTTGGACGCTGCAGGTATCAGAAATGAAACACGCGATTTCCTTATTTCATTTTTATCGAATCGGAAATATACCCTAAAGTACAACAATAAACTGTCAACGGAATATAAATTGGACCTCGGTACGCCACAGGGTAGCATCGTCGGGCCTATCATGTTTCTGATTTATATTAATGACCTACGCCCCAAGGAATCCTAAATGGAATGACTTTTATTTACGCAGACGACACTGCAGTAGTAGTAAGTGCTAACGATGATGATGCTGCCACACACAAACTAAAATGTGTCTTAAACGAATTTGTTTCTTGGTGCCAGGAAAATAAACTGTCCATTAACTCTCGGCAAACCGTGATTACGAAAATGACCAAAAATAAAACACACGAAAATGCTGCTGTCGAATTTGACGTAGAGAACTCTGTGATCTCCTGTAGCACGTCCACCATGTATCTAGGCATCAAAATTGATAATTGTTTGTCGTGGTCAAATCATATGGAATATCTAATTGCTAAAATCAACAAATCATATTATTTGTTATCACGTTTGAAACAACAGTTTCACCAAGATTTTTTAATAAAGGTTTATTATGCCACAGTTTACTCGCATATAAATTATAACATTGTCTGCTGGGGGAGCAGTAAGTACTTGCACAGACTATTTGTTGCGCAGAAACGAATAATTCGCTTAATATTTAATCTAAGTTCTCTCCAATCATGCAGAGGGTCTTTTAAAACTTTTAAAATCTTACCCCTCCCCAGTATTTACATATTCAAATTGCTCTGTTACATACACAAAAATATAAACAGTTTTGGGAAAGTGGGAGATACCCATACCTACAATACGAGGGGTAAGGACAAAATTTCCACAAGGAAGCACCACCACTCTTTCTATAATAAATCCCCCTATATGATGGGTTCACAATTGTTTAACTTGTTGCCGTTAGAGTTCACCACCTGCAACCAACAATCATTTAAAAATAAAATTAAAAATTTCCTACAAGATAACACGTTTTATTCTGTCAAGGAATTCACAGAGTTCATGACGGCTAGATTCACTTAAGCAATCCACTTGCTAATTTATTTATTATGTGTTCACTCAATGTTGTTCGTACCTGCACGTAAAGTTTGTTATTTTTTCACTCTGTATGACGTTTCAATGGCTGTGATGCACAGTTTCAAGAATAAAGATCTTATTATTATTATTAATAATAATATTAAATGTCCCAACTGGAGAACTTACTCTCAAATTAAAATTTAATTCTTTATTTTTAAAATTCGTAGTTCTGTCACAACACCAAAACTTCTATTCCCAAATGACATCGTTACCACCATAATAATTTCATTTCAGAAATTCAGAAATTTTCATACAAAATTTAATGAGCTTGGTTTGATAAATAGACCCCGAAATTTAAAACATCGTTTTAGATATTACACTTACCCAAACCACGTCTTTACGCAATGGGCTAATGAATTTGAATTTCTACATCATTTCTAATGAGCTTTACAACATCCCTATGGGCGTCTTTTGGGGATTAAAAAAGCACCTCCTTGGGTAGGAATTTTAGAGATCAGAAAAGGCACGCCGGAAACCTGGGTGTAGCCGCAAGTTCAATCGTTCCATTCATCCATTGCTTAGACAAATACCATTAAATACTCACGCAAGGTAATAATACAAGTTCAAGACAAAATTATCTGGTCTGAATATGCGAAAAATGGAAAATCCAGTTTTCGATTCTCAAACTCGAAGAAGTTTGTGAATACGTTGCTATATTGAATGAATTTTTGGACCAATTAAATGCCTCTAATAAGGACCCGGATTTAACATGAATGCAGAGAGAAAGAATGAAATTGCTAGTCACCCTTTTCGTACAGTTTTTAGACATGAGGTGACACAATAATCTTGAGTTACTTATTTGCTATTCGGTTCACTCGTATCAAATTAAATCGAAATTAGTAAACTCTGCGACAATTATAAGTGCGGTTTTTGTTAAGAATGAAATTATCAACAGACTTCTAAACACCTCTTTAAACTGCCGACGCCGTCGACACAATGTACTACACTGTGTTTCCAATTTTGGACTCGGATAGATAAGATGATTGTAATTGTGAATAAATTTTTGATTTGGAAAATGATTGATTGAAACTAACGGCAGTTACATGTGTGGAGGTAAATTTCCATACTCACTATTTAGTCACCCTTCACCTATTGTCCAACTCCAAAATCATTTTGCATTGTATGCCCAATGTTTAAATGTAAAAATCCAAATTACTTACTGCATTTTACGCGGTACCTAATCTGTGCTTCTCAAAATTCACCCTTAGCTTTCTTGCTTTCGGTACTAGGCACTCTTCGAACCATTTGAAATTTTTGGGGACCATTCCGCACAAGATGTACTGCACTTCGCGTTTACACGATCGAATGATTTGGTCATAAGTTATATTTTTTATGGAGGGGCGGTAATGTAAGTAGCTAATGCGCTTATTTGCACGTGCGGTCACTTTTACCTTTCAATAATTGTTTTGCCGTACCGAATGAAGCCGTTCCTGATCAAATATGACATGTGAACTACATTTTTTTAACCCATGAGACTGTGTTCTGAATTAATTTTCATTCTCACATGGAACAAGTTAAAATCTGACTTTCCTTGTCTACCTTCCAATTGCAGTTTGTCACTGAAATAGCTTTCTTTGGCTCGTTCAAAAATAAACTGTAGCTTATAATTGTTTTACTCACGCAGTAGATTGAAATATAACAATCGCAAGTATTGTTCTTAATTTATAATACCTGTGAGAATGTATGAGGAAGCGTATAGGTTTTTCTATATGAAAGCGGCGGTAATAAAGTATTGAAATCGAGTGTCAAAAGCAAGTATGGGGAAGAATTGAACAAGATTTCGAAAAGATTTCTGAGGATTTATAAGCAATTTTATCCAATTTCAGGGATGTTTTAGAGAAAATCGAGACAGCTATTACTCAATTATCGATCAAAATGACTAATTACAAGAAATGAATTTAATAAATCAGCAAATGGTACAAAATAAACTCCCCTTTGAACCCACATTAGATAATATTTTACTGTTTTGGAAAAAATCGTTGAAATTAAAAGCTACAGCAAGGGAAAGGAGACGGTTTTTGTTTTACAAGTTCCTGTAGAAAGAGAACATTATAATTATTACCATCTATATTCCCTTCCGGTACCTACAGTTAATCTATTCCAAGAAATATTTCCAAAATCCAAATATTTAATCCATATACTCTTCGACAACAAATACCGAGAAATCACGTCAGGAGAATACATCTGTGAAACCAAACCCAGTAACAATCAAGAAAGAACAAGATGCCTCATGTGAGGACTAAATGCTAACATATTCCCAAACTACGTGAAATGGCCGCCAAATACCCGAGTCAATCAATAATGTAAAAGTCCAAAAAGTGGAATATAATAAGTGGATTTCCAAAATTAAAAATAAATGATACATTCCAATTGCAAAAATCACAACTAAAATTTAAACCTATAAAAATGGACATAATTAATTTGGAGGAAGTAAAAAACATTCAAAGTGCTCTAGAAGTGCACTTCAATAACATTAGAATCTGGACAATAAGTATTAACATACGTATTTATAATTTTACTTGTGATTTTCATAACTTACGCCTACACAAATAACATTTTGCCAATTAAGGCTTTTAAACCCAAAAAAAAACCCGACATAAAGTTCTCCACGTTTGCACACCCGAAACCCTGTTACCCTCTATCTCCCTACTGCTAGAACAGACATTATGCGCAAATCCCCCATTTATACCATGTGCAGTAATTACAATAGCATCTCGCGCAGTTGCGATATTAACAATTCCTCATTTCCCTCTATCTCTCGTCTCATACTTCATCATTTCATCTAGTTTTGTTAAAAAAATACAATTTTTAGTTTGTCTTTATAATTGCAAAATATTAATTTCTAATTGTATACGAAAGACACATGTTAAATAATTGTTATTTTTTGTGTATTTTTCTCTTTGGTATACGTATGATTTATGCTGTCTTTGTTATTTGTCTTTTTCAAAGATGTTAGACAATAAATCCGTTATTATTATTAACAAATCCTAGCCCTACGATTTGTATTTAAGGATGGAGGAGTTATTTTTTGACACGGCCGCCATCTCATCGCTCGAAAGTTTATTTTATCTTCATTACGAATATGCACTAGAAAAAATACGGTACTCGGTACTCCAAATATACACATCATTCTTTGCAGTGCTGGGCTGCCATCACATGGTTTACCCTTGTTGATCTTACGGGTTCAACAACTGTAAATCTCTCTAATCTTTCGATACATCATGAAAAACTATGTTGGTATGCAAATTTTGTGATTTAAATTATTAATGGAAGTCTAAATACTTTTTGGTAACGGTTTGAGTAAAACAGCTTACATTGCCAATTCACGAATTTTGATCTAAAAATTTGATAAAGAATCCACCTGCAAAATTTAATCGTAATCGGAGATATTGTGCTAAAGAACAGACGGACAGGCATTGAAAAATTATGAACTCACTAGGAGCTCGTTAATAAAGATTATTGACTGTATTATTTACTCTTTACCCCTTTTCCTTAAGAGGCCAAAAGATGATTATTATGATATAAAATTCTATGAAAAGAACCACCCCAATTTAATTCCGATATAGGAAGATTAACCATAGACAGAAAAGTGGAGAAGAATTAAAATTGTACCATCCCTTACAAATTTCATTCTTCCACAAATTAGGGACGTCATTTAAAAGCTACTCCGTTTTAAATTGCACAGCATACCAGCGGGAGGGAAGCATATAAAGTATATAAAAGTACCCAGGAAAAAGCTTTCTGAAAGTTGTAGGCGAATGAAAGAGATTCGCATAAAACTGCTTTCAATATTAACGACCCAAGAATATTTTTATATCCCCAGCGGTCCCCAATACAACGACAAATGTAATCGACAATGTTTAGATGAAGGCTTCCCTCTTGTTATTCCTTATAGATTTCAGAGGTTTGACAGTGACATGAGAATGGAAAGCTCCATTAGCGTCTACATGAGTAACAAAAGCTTTAGTTGCAACTGCTTTGGTAAGTTGTCGAGAGATGCAACAACAAGGGGGTCAAAAGCGAACTATTGTCTCATCAAAGGGATCTTTAATAATTGAGAATTGCGTATTTTGCTTTATATTAATGTTAGCAAACGAAAGCAATTGCAAGACTTCCATAGAAACTAGAAATCCAAAGTGGCTAAGCCCAATTGTGTTTCGAAAATTTCAGAGTGAAAGTGAAAAATTAATCTCGGGCATATAAAAATGAGTTTTTTTAATTAGAGCGTTGAGGTAATTTATTTATGGTCTAACAAAGAAAGATCCTTAGCCAGGTGATATCCATCACGGCGTGTTGAACTAACTAAAGGTTAATAGCGCAGCAATTACGTTTTTAATATTTTCTAATGCCACGGCAAAAAGCTCATACCTTATTCACTTCGAATAAATAAAAGCTAAGTAAAAAGTTCTTTCAGAAACACTTCTTATTGTGTCTATTCTTTGCAGTAGGTACCTACTCTGATTTCTTTCTTTCATACGTAGTTGAATGTGATAAATTATAGGCAAAAACTCGGGTAGTTGAAGAACGAATAAGATTAAGATGGATGACCACGCTTTGTTTCCATGTCTAACATTCAATCAGAAGGGGTAACAATTTCAGTTAAAACATAGAAAGCGTCGAGGTATTAATTGAACGATATACTTCATTATTGTGTTTTCTCTCATTCTCTCTCATTCTTTCTACATTATTCTTTGGATGGTCTTGTCCATAAACTTCATTCAATTCATATAGGGTGTAATAAGCAAGTACCTATACAAAAGTATGAGTGATAATAATAATAATAATAATTGTATTTATTGTTCAACAGAAAATATTTCCAGTAACAGAACAATATAAAAATTTAGTATAAACTGCAGTGTAAGAAATATCACACAAGAGAAAAAAAAAAAAATAAAATAATAGTATAAAACATTATAGAAAAAAAAGAATGAAGAGACAGAATATGTTAATTAAATTAATAATTTGCAGATGCCATGAGTGGAAATCAAGGGAAATGAGTAAGTGATTGGAATTATTTACTCACAAGTAAAACTTAGTATAGTAGGAAGCGGGTTTGAGTTGATATCACAGCGGTGACAGATGTTATTGAAGTTTTGTGACATGTTAATCGTTGGACATTTATAAAACAAATTAGTAGGGGGAATTGGATAGGAAAAAGTAAGTGGGGATCTCGAAATTCTGGTAGGAACATTGAAACAAAGTTGGGACAGTGATACTGTTTATCAGTAACAAAGTAAATTAAGTAACAAGGGATTAAAAAGAGTTTTTGTTCCTGAGACAATGGTTTAATATTCTTAAGGTAACAAGAACTAGTTTAATCCAGTGTTGCTTATACTATTTTTTCCAATAGCGACGGATTTACATCCATTTTTCCATGAATTTTTCACAAAAACACAAAAATGAGGAATTAAAATTTTTTTATCCCTAGGGATTAAAATTACCTATTAATGCACAAAAATTAGGGATTAAATTCAATGAAACAATGTAGGTATTGAAAAAAAATTATTAATAACCATTAACCCTGTCGCTCTACAAATAGAGGACAACACTCTGCAAGATGTTTCCACCACTAAATTTTTGGGTCTACATTTTGACAACCACTTAAGCTGGAAAGTACACTGCTCCAAACTCGCAGCTAGATTGAGTTCGGTTAATTACCTAATTAGAAATCTCAGACGCGTCTTAACTCTAAATCAACTCGTTAATATATACCACTCGCGCTTGTGGAGTCCATCCTACGATATGGGATATGTCTATGGGGTTCGTCTACTCACTCGCATGCTATTTTCATTGCCCAAAAGCGCATTATAAGAACAATTGCAAACGTGTCAAAATTTCATTCGTGCAGAGGTCTCTTTAAAGATCTGGAAATCTTAACGGTTCCTAGTTTATTAATTTTTGAAAATTGTAAATTAATCTTCACTTATTCTCAAAAACTGATTAGGAACAAGGACCACACATAGCTATAATTTACGTGATAATGACCTTTTCCAAATCCCCACTTTTAAAAGACAATTAACCGCGAACTCTCCCATGGTTCTTGGAGTACAAATGTATAACAAGCTACCTCACTACTTAAAAGGCTGTGACACTCTAAAACTGTTCAAACAAAACCTGTTAAAGTACCTGATTCTTAACCCATTTTACACCACTAGTGAATTTATTAATCTTTAATTGTTAC